GTCATGTAATACAATTTTTAACCACACCATACCAGCGATCATAGGATGCTTGGAAAGAGAACAAAGGGGAGCCTTATGGGGAAGAGTTGGTCCTGTCGCGAAATCAGCCAAACCCGACGGTTTCTTGTGCTCCAAAACCAATTGTACTGCTTAAAGGCAGCGATTACGATAAATTCAAGAAGGGTTTCAGTAACGTGGTGGTGCTCAATGGTACGCCAGTGGCGAAAAAAGCGGAAAAATCCGTCAAGAAAACGCAAAACGGGACCCCCTTTTTTGGCCGTTGGTTTTCACTCATGAACAGGTAACAGCTCAGAAAGTGGACGTATGAACGAGTTCACCGCAACGCGTTTGATGGCACCATGCCAAATTAATCGAGATGCTCCATTTGCGCCGCTGCTGGCCACGCAGCTCGTCCAAATCAACAAGTAAACTAGTGGGCGGATCGCTTTTGGGGGCGGAGTGCTTTCGAAGTCCTGCTCAGCAACCAGCGCACCTTTCGTCGTGAAAGCGCTACACTCGCCCTGGCAGCCAAGTAACTGCTTCGTGTGGTGCATATGCTTCCCCGATGCGCTCCTCTTTATCGTAATCGCTGCCTTCTAAGAAAGGCAGATGTAGAAACTAGGTTGGCTTATTCTTACTAATGTTTTGCAATGAAGAAAAAGCATATCACCGTTTGTAAAATTCCAAATCACTTGAAAGCAGCCCGAGATCAAAAAGACTTCTGTAGACTCCTTAACGCTCTTAAAGACAAATAAGTTAAAGTGGTTAACAATCTATGTACTGATTTCAAGACAAATGTATGAAGGGCAGTGATGTCGCCTGAGACATGGAACGCCTAATTGTATTAACGCGCTCACGACCGCGCGCAGTTTCATCGCACTACGGCGTGGGACCGCATCGTGTATCGTGCCAGGACCAAACATATTGGTATCCAAACGTGCTAGGATCCAACAACATTTCCACACATCTTGAATATCCTATTGAGTTCGGTAGCATTTGTTGAAATGTAGTGATCCACAAATTCGATCACTTCAAAGGACCACTGTGACTGGGATCGGTTTCTTCGCCGCCCTTATAATGTCGACCTAACGACAATGGAGACTCAACCTATCAGGATGATAGCTCGTCCCAAAATCCTCCTTTATGATAAAACGCAGATAGCGGCAGTAAGCTGCAGCACGTGCTGCCACCTGTGCTCGCGACGCAGGTGATTACGATTCAGATCGTCCATGGAAAGTGATGGTTGCTCATTGAGTTCGCGTGATGGAGTGGATTCACTCGAATCCACCTATTCGGTCAAGGCTTGTAAACACAGGATGAGGTAGAAAATGAGCAAAAATAAAGGATATGTCTCAGAACGGAGGGAACGGGATTACATTGTATGCAAAATAGACACAGTCAAGGATACAAACGTGAACAGAGAAAGTACAGAAAAATCATAAAAAGAAGAATAGAAAAGGAAAATAAATACGGAAAGATTCCTTGTGTCCGTATGACGCGATTACATTAGCATTGGAGCGCATCCTGCTCTAGCCGGACAACTCGTCCGTATCACTCAACTGCTAGACTTCAGCAATTGATCGATCTGATAATTTGGGTCTCAAAAATCTCGCTGAGTCCCAAAGATCTAAAAAAGAGCGGATAGCTTGTTGGCCTGATGCCAAGGCAAGAGGAACGGAATGGAATGTGGTGCGCGGACGAGTTGTCCAGCCACAGCAGGCTGTGACAACTACGGCCTGTACGGTCAGCAACTAGTTAATAAATGATAGCGAAAATAGTGAAAATAATTAGAACACAACTGAAATTGGCTAATCATTTCGTAGGCAAAAATCACCACATTTTCTGAAGGCGGTCGTCAGTTACGTTGTTTGGTCTTCTGTACAGATGGCACCTGGCAGCCGTGCACAAGTAGTACAATTAAGATGGAATTCCAGAAATTAGGAGGAATCGAAAGACCGAGTAGCAAAGGCCCTAAAAGTGAAAACACGACACAAAGGGAGGATTTGTAGGAAGGAGCAACAAGAGGTGGACGCTCAAGCTCGAGCGAATATTTTTGGGGATGAGAGTTCAGACGAAAAGTATGTATTGAAAAGTGGAAGGGAGTGTATGAGATCAGGATATTAGAAGATTCAGTTTAAAAGAAAAAAATATGCCTTCATTGATTTGGATGGAAACTACTAATCCACTGTTCTCCTATTCTCCTAACCAATGCGTGCGTAATCCTTCCGGCCCTTCTCGTGATCACTTGTAGCGTATTCTCTTAAACTCCCAAAACGTTGACTATAAACGCAGGCTCAGATGGGATTCACACAAAGCTGCACAAACTAAATATGGTGATCGGCTACCGCTTGAAATAATGCAGTGCGCATCCATGAGAAATACGTTGAAAGCTGAATAAATCTCGAGAGAATGCGAAGCAATGACTCACTCAAACTCCAAACTCAACGAGACTGCAGAACATCATTTTAGGGAGGGATTTTCAGTACTTCTCGCTTAGAGTTAAAAACTATGACGCACACATAACTACTATCTGCTTCCCGCAGCAAGATCTGTCGTAATTGCAGACTCAGTAGAAAGACAATTCATATGGCATGAAGTTATCCACTTTTGTACAGGGGAGGGAAGCTCCGAGGTGGCTGTAAAAGTTTCAGCAATATGGCCTTCCTGGGATTCCCTCCCCATGCAAAAATTGGAGTTCACGTAGCCGGCAGGAAATGTCACACCACATGCCTACTCCCCTTACTAGATGAGACCCAAAATTTCTGCCGACAAAGGAATTTCCGGGGTGAGTGGGGGTGAGAGTGGAAGCAAAAGCAGAATGGTCACCCACCAAGGAGCTCCCTCTTAAGCCGTTTAGACAGAGCGAGCACCCGAAGTAAAGCGTGAATTATAATGTTCTGCTGTAGTCACGTACAATGCGCGACGCATTGACGCGCTGAAGTGCGTGCTCGCCTCCCACTATTCGTTTTCTCTGCGCTCTCTCAAAGGAGAGAGAATATGTCGAGCCAACCCGCCAACCATGCGACGCCCATCTATTTTTGGATTGCTGCCCAGCGGGGTAGCCTCATTGTGAGCATAACCTATAGGATTGTCATTGCGGAAATCGCGTCGATGCGACGCGCATTGTACGTGACTACGGCAGGAACATCGTAATTTACGCTTACTTCGGGTGCTCACTCTGTCTAAACGGCTTATCTCCCCTCTCAGGCAATGTGGATTACCGTAGTCTGCACGAATAATTGCACCAAAATCCCCTCCCCCGGCTGCATGAGCGCATCTTCCTCCCCAGACAATGAAAGGAAACGCATAATCATGTCTCAGTGAAGAGCGAAATCCCACTCCTGTCTGCAGTTCAAATACTTTCATGAAAGCACGTTATACTTTACACGTGTACAGTCCCAGTAAGCTGCAACCATGGAATCGATTGTAAATTCACTGGTTATGATAAGAAGTTTCCAAAACTCACCTAAGGCTATTTACAGCAGCTTGGAGGCGACCACACCTGACAACAGGAAAATGAACTGACTCGAGCTAGAAGAACAACTTCGACGCAAGCAACTATCGTGCTGGGACCACTTGCGCTGCTGCATCCATCTCCTTCATTATTTAACGCGGCCAAGGTAACTTCACCTTAGTGTAAGGGGCTACCACTGAAATGTAACTTCCATAAGCCATTTGTGATCGCATACTACTCCATTTGAAAATGTGGTTTCTGCACCGTGAAACTAAATACCATATGACATCAACGAGTGTTTCACGAATATTACTTGTACGTTGCTGCCTCAGAGGGTGGTTCAGTAGGACAGATAGCGACTTTTTCGCGTTTCGGAGCAATCAGGAGGAATGCCACCACTACGTACTCCAGATACGAATCGATCAACACTGCACAAAGTGGTTAACCATGGTGTGTAGCCGATTTCAGAGTTACGCTCTACCCCCCATACCTCCCCCCCAGGTTGATGATTCAGTAGTGTCATGAACCTGATGTTATATGTATCTTCTGCTTCGTATAACCAGAAGCGCGTCGAGTGCAGACCATACACCACAAGTGACGACGGCCTCCAAGTAAATCTGGTAACTAGTGATTCAGTGATAGCTGATAGTTGGTAAATGATAGTTGTAGTGACAACTGAAAGAATATAGAGCTGCAAATGGCTAATCAGTTCATTGGCTGAAAACATTTGAACGTCACATGTTGTGTGTGGTCTACACTCGACGGCATTCTAGTCATCTGAAACTGAGGGTACACTTGCGCCAAGGCCGCGAAATTGCGAAAACTCGTCGAGTGAAGGTGAGAGACACGTCGACCGTCCATCTTTTCGAGCCATGAAGGGCGTCATGGCTCTTTGAAAGAGTTGATGAGTTTTGCGACGACTTCTAGGAACACGCTTTTGCGACGAGTAGAAAAAACTCAGAGCGGTTGCCGTTTCTTAGACTTGTATACCTCGCTCCCCCCGCCCCTCCCCTTCATCCACCCCCACCCCTCGACGGCAGTTTTGGACGGAAAATGGGTGGAGTTGGAGTGTACCGACTGGTATTAGAATAAATCAAACGCCACGGTGGTGAGGGGTAGGGGAGGGGGAGGGCGTCAACGACTGAAACGGCAAATTCGTCAAGATTTTCCAATTTCTCTAAAAAAAATTCAGTTCCCCAGGTCTTGAGGAACACCTTTCCTAAAACAACCCACGTCCTAATTTTCTTACATTTGATACCGGAATTGTACGGTGGATAATAATATGGCCCGTAGAACATTGGCTGACCCAAAAGTCATTGTATGGGGCAAATGAGTGGCACCAAAACTCTGAGTGGATGTAAAATGCGTGGCGCACACTGTATGCTTTAACCTTTTATCCTGCACTTGGCTGTTTTTTTGCACTTTTGATAGGAATCGGCGAGTAAGCACAGTTACAAATAACCCTTCGTTTCTGTCGTCAGTACCCTCTGGGCTGTTCACGGATTGTACCTTTTGGAATTTTGATCCATTTTCATCGACTACATAGATGTCCGTAAGCAACAGCGTCGACACATTATTGATTAGTTCATAGTTTGAATGAGCTCAAGTCCTTCGCTAACTGATTACACCATAGAAATAAACTTGTCACTTCGGTGCAGGGGAGGATTGCATTTCATAAACGATGCAGACTCGATCCCTTGGCATTTGTTCCCTTTAGGATGGGTGATACTGTTGATTTTACGCTATTCAATATTTTATCACTTATACTACCTCCGATTAGCGAAATGTCTAAGGATCTCGAAGCCGTGCAGATAAATGAGGTATATCTTTCCCTTATAGATTGACTTGAAATTTTTTTAAAGCGAAGGCATAAAAATTAAAAATTTCTTTTTTCAGCGTAGAATCATTAATACTGTATTAGATCCGAGTATCTACGACTCATCAGTTCCGTATAAACCACCGGCGGAAGTAGTACCAGTGTTCTCCTTACATCACGTAGAGAATGTGGTGAGTTCATACCGAAATTCATCGTCTTTATCGCTTCTTTACTCCACTTATCAATTAATGTAAGTGTAATGCAGCCCAATGCTTGGGAGTGTTGAGTGTCTGGTATATTTTTCCGAAGAAATTTCTAGTTATCAGGGAAATGCTGATTTCCCAGAAAAGCTTCACGTCTGCACGAAGCGAGACCCGAGCCTCAAACTTAAAGGCATATTTCGCGACTTTAAGGATGTGGGTTATTGCAACCGAACATGTGCCTAGATGTGGGGATTGGTCCAAAAGATAAAGAAAAAGAGAGCAAAAATCTGCTAGGGAAATGCCTTCTAAGAAGACCTTTCTGCTTGCTCTTCTTTGGATATGAGCTTGATGTGTTACAATCAGACAGTTTCGTCTCATCTTTGGGAAGGAATCGTGAAAGTGTGAGAGTGATGCAACTGTAACCCCCTTCATAGGGATATCCTTTCTGGATAACTATTCAATAACGTTTCAGAAGAATAGACACAGGGTCCGATTCTTCTCATAGTGTTCCTAGAGAGTGACCTCATAGCAGCACAAATGGTCAGAGTAAGAGTATAAATCTCGTTGAAAGAAAATCCTAATAAATTTAGCAACATAAATCAGTAGCTTCTCTTTCAGGACGAAGTGCAGCAGTTGATGGTACTACATGGCGCAATGCTTTTGGTTCGTTCTTAATTGCTTTTAGCATGATCATATACTATTTTACTGTTTTAGTATCTTTCACTTTCGACATTTATGTACTATTGGCCGGCCCATGGAATATGGTCGACGGACTACTTGAACTCAGCCCTTTAAACCGCCTCTGCGCTCTCTCGCGGGTCCCTCTCCTCTCCAAGGCTTAGTCCTAGGGCATTCACCCGTTCTCTAATCGTCTGTGCTCTAGCCATCGCGGCAGGACCATTGAGGAAAAATCAAGTAGTCCGTAAACCCATGGAATATAGCAGGGTGCGGCATGAACAGCTGGCACATCTCGTTCCAAATTGTTTGCAAGCCTCTTTGGAGGAGATCCTCCTGCAACCTCGCCAATGTGAAAACGTGTGTTCTCGACGTTGTCGACTCTTAAAATAAACATCCAAAGTATTTCGCTCCAAAAATGGCGTTGAGTGGGGATAATTGGGAGGCGGGGGAGGTGATAAATCCTCTAAAACCTTTAGATTTTTGCACACCTTTCTGTATCTCAGCATGTTCAGTCCGTCATCGCGATCCTCTCCCGACAGCCCTGAGTGCGACTCCTTCCAAAAATCGCAAATAGACTCCCTCTTGGAAAATCCCAACGAATGGTTGATACTGAGGTTTGGTATATGTTTACGTTCGTCTGACACTAGTCCACGATGCAGACGGTTCTGAAACGCGATCACCGTGGGGCTTCAGTTTTGCTTGTGTTTGATTCCTTAACCCTTAACTGGGAGAAGTGCCATTCTATGAATGCATAGAAAATGTGGAACATTGGCCGCCTACTTATCAACATCAACTCGGGTGCCTGACCGATTTCATCTCTTCCCACTCCACAAATCCCTGGATCGAAATTTCACATTCTGAGATCCGCCTTAAACTCCTTAAGCTGTCTATTAGGGAGAATACAGTGAAAATGACAGGAGGCTCAAGAGCTCCCTTATTTTTTCTAAAAAAAAACATTTTTTGAGAGCTTCCCAATAAGCTTAACTTTAACTTTTTTTTCGGCGCTATCGCAAGATACGGGAAGTTTTAATGGTAATGCATTTAAAATCAATACCTTAAATGGTAATGCATCTACGAACAAAACCTTTTTTTGCTGACAATGGACAAAGCGTTAGGTGGGGGAGGGGAGGCGCCAGGTGCATGAGCAGTTTTCATTTCCCCGAAGTTACTGCCCCTCATAAGTTTAGTCCTGAGGATCCCTCCTTATCTTATAGTGTCCTTTCCTTGTTTTATGACTTCTGGAAATCCGAAGTCATTGCGCCAAATTCGACTCGTTCAAAACTCACAAAACTCAACACACCTACCGTCTGACTCGATCAGAAATCCTAGTTTTTGTTATAATTCCATAATTTACATCTTGTAACGGAGGAATCTTACTCCAATGAAATCCAAAAAATATACGGTGTAGATTTCTTTTGGCGGTCTGCCGGAAATATGGTAATTTCAACAGAATCTTATCAATAAGAATTACAGTCGAGTAACTACCATATTGCAGGCTCTTGTACACATTTCTATTCAGTGTATCTAAAAACAGTTGTTATTTCTATAATTCATACAGATGTGGAAAGACAAGCGGCTTGCCTGGAACGTCTCAGAGTACGGTAACGTCAGAGAGATAATTCGACGAAAGAGTCAGCTGGTTGGCCGGATTTGGCTACCGAAATTATACTTGACAGAAATGTAAGTTATTTTCATGCAAAGTATTATTAGATGAAAATACAGGCCATTCATTGAGTAGTTCCGTAAGATTGTATTCAATTCTGAACAGTACCGTAATAACCCTTAAAGGCAGTGATTGCGTTGAATGGAGGGTGGATACCTCTGGAATCCATCTAAGGCATCAGCACATAACCTCCTCCAGAAAGCACTCTGCGAAGCGAATTCAAAGATTCAAGACAAGCTTCATTAAAGAATTCGCCAAGAATATTCTACTTAGAGTGATTTGCGGTAGAGGCCATGTTCCGAGTGGGGACCTATACCACCTTGAAAATCGCTATCAAAAACTGGTTGGGGGAAGTAGAGGTTCACTTTTTGAACAACTCACGAAAACACCTCCAATATCACATTAGGCAACTCTCCAGCTACATCCAAAAGGGACAAGCACGAATGACTTACTACGCACCGCTTAAGTTATAGCGATTGTGTCCTTTCAAGTGACATTCAGATGTAGAAAACTTGGAGGATCGTTGAAAAAAGTACGGAGCAAAGGATGATATCGAGCCTAGAATTGAAGGAATGGCGCCCAGCTAAGAGATTTTGTTTTGCAATCGGCGAGCGATGATAACCTTCGATAACGGCCTGTAATGTTACATCGGCCTGCCAGAAAACCAAGGAATCTGTACAGCAAGAGCAGAGATTACTCAGTCATTATTCTGTGCAATGTATGTGTCATAGCAGAGGATCGTCTTTCGTTGCATACGGGCGCTCAGTGTTAATGAAACTGCTCAATTTCAACTCTGATGGGCCAAAATTGAGAGTAGGTAACCTTGCTCATCACTTGAGGCTGTGCCACACATCTCACCTCCAACATTGTTCACGCATCATTATATCTGTACAGTGAGAGTCTATAGGACACAACTGTTCGTCCATGAAAGCCGATGGCAGAATTAAAGGCAGGTGGCTCGACAAACATCGGGTTGAAGAAACAGTTGTATATGCCTATAAAGGAATTGTGTGGCCCAGGAAAGCTAAATGTGGCGCTTCCACAGGTGAAGGGCCTAGTCGTAGCGACCCAGTAGGTCCCTCCCCGTCTCTTTTGAGGCGTCGTTTCTACCATCTTTAGTTTTAACTTCCTTCGACGACGAATTTTCATGATGCTATCTGCCTTTGTTCAAGCTTTTCGATAAAAGACTCGATTTAACCAGATCAGCTCGTAGTGCACTACCTCTCATTTTGCGACATCTTTGCGCAGCCTCTTAATCAAAACAGCCTAACTGAAACCTGCTTGGGAACTACTGTTGATGCGAAAAGTTGCTGCTCATAAAGAACCGTTCCTTGATTAGGCCTTTCTCGCATTCATTCTTCACTCCTCGCTCCCAGGCGGGGAAGAGCAGAAAATAGGAAATTTGGAAGGGCTACAAAAAATTCACAAGATCGGTCAGTTGGCGTTTGACAACTGATTTTTCATTCAGCAGCTTTCTGTTCAGCCATGTCACTTCTACAGCTTTGGGTAGAAGACGGCACAGCGATGCATACATTTTGTTGCTAAGAGCGCGCCGAAATCCCACGGTAATTAATTGGATAAGCTCGCTCAATTTAAAAATTTAAAAATAGAAAGCTCACACCTGGATTGTGGGGGAGGGGCGGGGGGAGGAGGGGGGCAAAGACATGGGGCAATATTCTTTAGGATCAACTGTCGAGTGTATCGCGTAAGCCATGCTGAAAATGGTTGTGGAATCGCGTCGTGACCTAGCGATACACACATCGGAACAAAGCCTTAAACTCACCATATAGCCGCCACTATCCTTAATTTCTTATTCTAGAACAACTTGTGCAGATTAGGTCGTTTTGGTAAAATCTCATTCAGTTTCCATTGGAGTATAGTCAGCACCTAAGCGGATTGTGACGCCTTCTTCACATCTTTTTCAAAAAATCTGTATATGGCTGTGGCGCCCTGAGAGAATGGTGTAAAACTTAGCTCCCCTTTTTTGGATCTTAAAGGCAGTGATCACGAAGGCTGGAGGGCGTTGCGGCTTTGATGACGTCGTAGAAGACGTTGGTGCAAAGGCGTTAAAAAGCAGTCCCAGCCATACTCACAGCTCGATGAAGGGTACAGTAAAGCGATGACGTCATCAAAACCTCCTCTCATCAGCTTTCGACCCACAGCCTTCAAACAGAAGGACAGAAGATCATAAACTGCTTCATTATGCTTTTAGATTCTTTCGAACAGCAAATATCCTTAGTTCCGACACAACTGAACTAACCATAATACATACTGGACTTGTTCGTTGCGAGGTAAGGTTTCCTATATTCTGAATATATAAACACTTACCAGGGAAGATCAGCAGGTTGTTCGTTGCAGTGGAGTGTACATTGTTGTGTTCGTCTTTTGCGACGCTCAGACCGATGTCGGATCTGTCAGATCGTTTTGCTGGCCGCGACGCGACTGCAGACGCTAGCAAATCGCTCGTTTCGCAAAGTCTGACATCGTCCTCCGATTCACGACATTCAGGGCTGCTTTACATATCTGCTAAACGATGCTATACAGAGTTTAGCAACCAGGGTCAACCCTATGTTGCTACAAGTAGCAACGGGGGGTCGTATTTTGATGAGTTTGTAGAGGGGGGTCGTACTTGCTTCGGTTGTAAGAAGTTGCATGTGATGAGTGGGGAGCGGCGCGGGAGAAAATTTGCCGTTTCAGCGCGCGTATATACCCCGCTCGACGGTAATTTTTTGGGGTAAAAATTGTTTGAAAGAGGGGGTCGTATGAAACATTTCATGAGGGAGGGGGGTCGTAAAAACTTTTTGAAAAGTAGCAACGATAGGACCGACCCTGGTTATAAGGCTTCTCCCCGCACTGTTTCGCATGCTATCCCTATCTTACGTATCTTTAACTGCTAGCAAACCCTTCACACAGGTATTTGTAGAAATTCACTTATCCAGTAATGATGTCGAACGTCTTCCTGCCTATGCTGCCTGAAGCGGTAAAAGAGCAAGCTCAACATCGAGTCAATCCAAGGTCCTTCTGCCTGTGAGCACGGACCACTACCACTGCGCATTTCCGTTCCATAACCCCCTTTAGGGAATCGTTTAGCAGATATGGTGAGTATCTTGAGCTCAGCGTTTCAGGGCAAATGCAACGGCGTTCCCCTCATTTTGAATGTTTGAACCGACTTGTTGACCTTCCCTGGTCAGTAGGATCAGTTATGCGAGTTCCGTTTCAGGTCAAGATCCTTGTGAAGACGTCATGTTATTTCGAATACGACGACTATCCTAATGATAATCAGAACTGCTCATTCACAATGTATAGTCCATTTACAATAGATAAGTGAGTGCATAGGATCGCCCATTGCTGATTGGATCGAATACAGAACAAAATCGATTCAGAATGAAGTTTACTGAATACGGTGGCGCCGAGAAGGGCGCATTCTACCGATCACGATCAGGAAGAACGCCATCAAAAGTGGATGTTGGCGATTTCGTTCTGGAGAGAATCGATTCTAAGAATGTCTTCTTATTAGCCGGATCGAAACTTGTAGATAACGTAGAGAGGTAAGAAGAAAAACGTTTGCACCACTCTTTCCCATCATTTAGGGAATTTTGGATGAACAGTAGAGGGAGTTGCGCCTAGGAGCTCTTCTTTGTACCTCGCCTTTGTTTCGATATCCGTTGCAGATTTAAAAGCACGTCTGGTATTAGACCACTGGACATTTGGTGTGCAAGACACAGAGCTGTTTCAGAAGCTTACCTGTGCCGTTCACAAGGCTACGCTCTTGGGCGACAAGGATGTTAAAGGCAAAGTTCAGACTCAGACCCACTTATCCCGTGACTAGAAGTGCTGGGTTACGCAAGTGCAAAGGTAGCGCCACCTTCTACATCGAAACGCGTCACTAAGACCCTAGGCGCCATGGACTTCTAACAGACTCCACCAAACTTAACATGGTCCGCCCACCGTTCGATATCTTGTCTGCGTCGCACGTTGATCTGCTATGCTCTCTCTTCTCGGACTTCTCTACCGCTCTCCGCGCTCACATTATCTCTCATCTCCCTGACCGCCTTCTGAGCTTCTCCTCAGCGTAGAGCAAAAACTCATACTTCCTGTGTATTTTCTTTCCT